TACAGTGAGTAGGCTCATTTATGAGTGTGATAAACAAAGGCAAACAGTATACTAAGAAAAAAGGGGGTGATTTTCGTGTCCGGTTTAGGCGGACTCCACTGAATTGTAAATAAGTGTCTAAAATCTATAAAGGAACATCTTTTCCTCAAATGACTAAGCAGTTTGAAAGAAAAGAATATTTTTACTTTTCATGAGATACCACTTCAACTATGAATACACACAATGAAGTTTCAAATTCATTTCCAGAAAAGGTCAAATAAAAAATAACAAAGCAAGCCTTCAGTCTTACTCTCCGTCTATATTTTGAAAATTCCTACTCAAAATAACATGAGAGGAAAAATAATCACAAGTTTCATTGTACACCAAGCTTTTTCATTTGTTCAGACTGCTCTGACATATTATTACAACCTAAAAATCTGCAAAAACTAAACAGCAGCTTAAATTTGATTGCACTCACAGCCATGTGAGAACTTCTTTCATTTTCTCAGACTACACAATTCTGTAACAACTTCAGTACACATAAATTATCCAAAAAACTTTCGCCAAAAAAATAAAATTATATTTGTCTATGACCCCAATAAATATCCAGGTGGCACTGTAATCAGTTTTATCTTATGTGGTGCACAGTAAATCAAGCTCACATAAATCTCTAACTGCAGTCTTGTAATAATAAAATATTATTTTCAACCAACCTTGGCATTGATATTGCATTTTAAATTATCTCAATCCCCATAAAGAGTGTGCTTAAAAAATATTTTAAAATCTTTGAACACATATTTTCTTCTCAGATAAACATAAGTCTACTTCTGTAAATTCAAAATGAAAAAATCAAACTACACAAAAGTAGGGAAAATATATGTTTATACCACTTTATCATGAAAAAAAGAGCTTTTATTCAAAACTAAGATACCAGTCAGCTACTCTCAGATGCCCGATGTCTTATATCAGTAAAAAAGACGGAAAGAAGTGCAGAATCCAAACGTATCTTGGTTTTCTTTTTCATAAAAGTACATGTAAAATAATAACTAACACTTTCTACTATGTTACATCTAAACCCAGTAATATACACATAGTCTCTCCCAACAAATACTTCCGAACCCACATATCCACTGCTTAATGTCAGACTCCGCCATACGCCAGTTTGAAACATGACTTATACTAGAGACTTACACCGGGCAGTCAATATCAGGGACAGACTGTTGTCCCCTGTCATTATAATCGATACAAAAAAGTAAAAACACATAACAATAAAACCATAAGATTTACTGGAAAATAAAGAGATTTCAAGTTTAAACAATGAAAAGTATTTCAATTTATGGAACCAAACCAAACAAAGAAAAAAACCCAAGTTAGTATAGCTCATTGTGAAAGAAAAATAAGCCTGTTGTTAGTATCTTGTGCTTCTTCTGCTTAAACCTGTGCAATATGTAGGTCCTCTATGTCAATTATGATCATTTTTACTTCAGCCGTAAGTTACATATGGTAAGGCCATATACTAAAATCGAATGACAAAAGTATATTATAGAAAAAATAAAACCAGAAAATAATAAACTTAACTGCTCCCACTTTATCACTGACAACAAAAAATGTAATCAAGCACATGGAATAAAGATGAACTGTAATGAGAGACAAATTTCAAGTGACAAATGAACATGGATTATCTTGTTAGGTATAATTCAATATAGTCAAGTAATGGTAGCATTGTCCATGAGATCATCGTGCCCGGCAGGGGTTGGGAAACATAAAGCACCTGTACTTAGAGGGCTGCCCTTTAGCCAAGCACTCTCAGGCCTGTCCCAGAGAGGCTCTGCAAGTCTGACCTGTAGCTGGCCTAGCGCCGTGCAAATGAACAAAAATTGTTACGAGCGCTTGAGCAGAGCCACTGTGTGATCTGTCTGTCACCAGACGCCAACCCACAGTGCGGCTGTGCTGACACGTAGACTAGTCAGACACAGATGTACAGAGCCACTCTGGGACCAGCCTAGCAGCTACGCAAGCATTTAGAGAGTTCTACCAAACCTGCTCCTCCTTGGCTACCCATCCAAGAAAATCAGCTGTATAAATTACTACTTCCCACTTGCATTAAAAAAAATTATATGCATTGCACTGTGGTGAAATCAGATGCTCATCAAAATAATGAAATCAAAGAAACTGAAATTTTTCCTCTCATTGGGCAATTATTTTTTTTTTTTTTGGGGGGGGGGGAGATTTCAACATCTTTTATGTCCATGAAATGCATTTCTGTATGAATTTTTACTTTGATGAAAGGCACCAAAAATTGACAAGCTGCTGATTCTATCAAGTTGTGACACATACAGCAACACTGCTCAGATTGTCCACCTGTCAATAATCAATATATTAACTCCTCGACAAAGGGTGGTCCTCTTGGACAACTTCTAAAGTAGTTGACTTTGTGAAGATTTCAAAGCGTAGGGTAACTGGTGCTACTAGTCAAACAGGAACCATCTCCAGCACTTTCTATACAGAGCGATATCACATTTCAGTTAGAGATAGAAAAAATGGCAATAAATATTCACATTCTTACATTTAGCAACTTGTGGATAAGTAAATTATAACACTGAGCTGGCAGCTTATTCAGAATTCCTGCTCTAGAGAGCAGCTTTCTTGTTGCAAACAGCAAAAAAAAACCCAACTAGCTCACCAACAGCACTTGGCAACAGAGCAACCCTCAGAAGACAGTTCTGACTTGACAAAGCCAAACAGTCTTAAGACAGGTAAAAACATTGCAAAACTTAAATTCTCTGCCAACAGTTTTGATTTCACTCCCCCCCCCCCCCCCCCCCCCCCCTTTTTTAAAATATTCATTTCTTTTTTACAAAGAGTGTGGATGGCAAACAATAATTAAAATACAAACTGAATCACAGTTAGCAAAGGGTCATTACTTTCAGGTATTGGTGTTTATGGGTTTACACATACAAACATGAGAAATGACATAAATGTACTTGACATTTGTCACATCAAGGCCAAAATATTTCTTTGGTCTACCATATTTCAAAATATATTTTCTTTCATAGCGATATTCCCAGAACTATTTTTTCAACACTCTTAGACACAACAGGTGAGAAGTTTCTGGTACAAATCAATGCCCAATACAACAGATCAACGGGCAATACTAATATTTTGTTTTTCTCAGCATTTTCGCAAGATTTTAATGCACATAAAATGCTTTTGTATACAAAAATACTATGAAAAGAACACTTTATAGATCCCAAGGGGTGGCAGTTTTGTCTCCACTTTGCCATGCATCAAAAAACATTTTTGCAATATCAAATAAACAAAGACCTTAATGACATAAGTGAACTGGAACTCCTTTTAAACCATTAAGTAGACTACTTCCGTAAAAGCTACATCAGACCAGAAATCAGTTGATTAATTATTGGACATGGGTTGTTGCTGTTGACACTGTTCTTAACCCAGCAGCCCCAAGACGTGCTTTTAGTAGGCAGTTTAGTGAAAATTTCAAAATTGTCTGATATGCTTTGAAATACTTTCATTTGAAAGCTCTTGCCTTCATGATCATAGAACAGTTTAAATTTTGTTGATAATTTTATTAGTTAAAAAGTTATGGCCATTTTTCATGCCTAAAATCCGGCCAATTTCAGGCCACTTTTAACACTGAGTTTTTGTGACACAAAAATGCAACTTTACAACACAAATGACCATTACTCAACACAAAATGCCTATTTTTTAAAGTGTTGTACATCAGTTTGTTGGGAATTTTACACAGAATGCACACAACTACAAAACACCTCTTTACAAAGTCACAGAAATATTTTTTGGGTACTTCTAGAGGTTCAGGGTGATAAAAAATCCCCCGCAAGGATAACCCAAAATGGACAAAATGGGCTATATCTTTGCTGCTAATGGTCATATTTAGACAAATCATACATCATTCTCTTTGTCTTTTTTCACTGTTCATAATTAATAAAGAGTTAAGCCAATTAAGTAATAATTTCCAATTTTTATGGCCATTCTTAAGATTTCAAAACGTATTTTCAGTGTTTCTCTAATCGTAAAACGGATTCCGTAAAAAAACAACAACCTCTAAATGACCGTCATAAGTCAGCTCCCTATCCTTCTTTTACAAAGTATTGTAACATACATTTGTGTGAAGCTATATTTTATGCTTTCAAGTGCATAAAAGAGCTTATAAATTAGCAATGACAATGAAAAATTAAATTTTCATCCAAATTGCTTAAAAATGGACGTAAATGAAAATAGAGTAAATTCTAAGAACTATGGTTTTTTAAAATTGAAAATCCATTGATAAATAAAAAAGTTATTGGGATTTTTGTTTGCAAAATGTTGGAGGACCTTCATATAGGAAAAAATCGCCAAAATGTGGGACATGTTTTGATGTATTTTGAGGAAAAACTGTTCATAAGTCAGTAATGAATTGGAGCATATGAATGAAACTTGGCATCTCCATGTGATTTTTAGTGCCGAATCTAGTTCTGCTATCACTTTTTCGATGTCTTCATTACTTTGGATCTTAAAGACTGATATTTGCGTGAAATTTGTTGAATTGCGTGACATCGTTTTTACCGCGACGCGATCACCCCTTCAAAAACTCAGTAAAGCGCTATCGGGAAAACCCGCGATGTAGTCATCGGTGACCCATTTGGTTATAGGCAGCCAATCACATGCCGCCTAGCGATCACGCGCCTCTTGCGTGCCGGCACCTCGCGTTTGGAATGCGCTATCAAGTTTCTAGATCTAGGGTTTTATCAATGGATGGGTGGTAATTTTAAGTTGGTACGGAAAATCTACTGAACGCAGAGATCTGAAATTTTACAGCAATAAAGAAGACATGTGGGGCACTTGTGTGGTCGGCGATCAACCCGCAGCTCCGCGTAGTTTTCGAACTGCAGAGGAAATTCGCACAAACACGGCAATATCTCCGGTTCTAATAATCGTTCGGGATTGTACGCTGGCATGTCGTTAGTTTAACCTTTCCTCTGGTTGGTTGCCGAGTTTCATTTATTTTCGTCGAGGAGTTTTCCCGTAACTAAACTTAGAAGAGTCACTTCTTATTCCGAGCGGCCCCAAAAATACCCCTCGCGCGGAGGCCGATTTCCGGCACAAGGCCCAGCGGGCGATTGGCATTGCTATATATAAATTCAAGAAAAATGCTCTTCGGAGACCTAGTTGTAGACCCACTGAAACATTTAATAAACTGCGGAAAGATGACAAGAAAATAAAGTCATTTTATGATCTTCACACAAGTTGCACTTGCAATTTTTTGGACAAATTATATTTATAGTCTACCTCATCTATTATTTTTTCACACATGTTTCTTCACTATTCATTACATTTTGAGTTATTATCAACTAGCAATTTTTTTTGATGAGCATAATTTTTTTTAAATATTGAGTCAGACTCATTGGCCATAAATTATATTTTTTTAAATGGCACAATTTGATAATGTAAATGTAAAAATATCCAGAAAATAACAACATTAAATTATTAGGTACTGAAAGTGAAAGACTGAGGAGAGGCTTAGATAAACTCTGTTCTCTACTACTATACTACTAACTAGTAAGTTTGCGCAAAACTGATTTAAGAAAAAGGTTGTCTCATAAAAGCAATTGTTATGATGAGATTTATTATTAACTCTGGAATATATAGCTAGATGCTGAATCTAACATCAATTAGAACTGTGCAATTCAAGCTTTATATCAATTCCAAAGCCCAAGGGCATAAATAGCTAGATCTATATGCTGGCTTTTTGACTGTTTCTAGCCTACTACAGCTGAATTCTAGAAGGTAATCTAGATTTAGCTATCATTTGCACTATTCAAGAGCCAAATATGGTAAAATAAAAGCAAAACTGTGAATTCTTTTGTCAGTCCGTTCATAATTTCATAGCCGCACGTATTATTATTATCTGGAGAAACAAGTAAAGCGCGAATAAATGCGATGCCGGCGCAATACGTTATCACAGTGTGCAGGAGAGAGTGGGGGCCCCGGGGCGCTGACCAGCCGATTCGGCGTTTCGGCTTTATGTATGCATTTTTACGGGAAGTGCCGTAGCGTTGTGCGAAGTTCAACCTAAACAACTCGGGTTCAAAAGAAACTAGAATGGATAATCTATAACTTTTGAAAGATTCATAAATATACAGCCAGTAGTTTTCATTTTATCGCGTTGTAAAAACTGCCTTGTTTTCAGACGCAAATATTTCCAGTTCTACTGAACCGATTTTCACGCGAAGACCGTCATTTTGAAAACATTTCTTTTCTGTTTAAAAAGATGTATCGGGAGTGTTAGTGCAATTCGCAAAAAAGGAAACAAAACTGTGAGTTGTTTAGACCCACCGTAGCGCGAGGTTTCACGGCCGGTCACAAAAGTCTACGGGGCGTACCGCGGCCGATTCGCCCTGCCGCGAGCGCGTTCACTAAACTGCCTACTTTTAGACCGATCCAGAGTCATAATCTACACATCTATATATTAGTCATGAGTTATACTTGAGAACTTCTACAAATTCCAGAACATTGCAACATACTATTTAAATTGATCGGTACCACTGAGCTGCTATGAGAAAAAGGTGTTTCATAGTCTGTCAATCCCTCTTTGACATTACAGGCACTGGACACCAAAATCTAGCTCAGTCCAAAGACAGCAACTAGTAATTTCTACTCGGCTGAACAGGCCTGATAGCAAAAGTAAAAACGAACCAATACAAATTTTACTTTCTGGTTTTCCTTCCACTAACATTATTCACACATGCAGAATCTCTGCCTGTTCCCGATCTACAGCTGTTGCCATGGTGATGGTGCGGGTGCTGTTTGCTGCGATGATAGTGTTGGCAATCGTTCGCATTACCTCATTCAGATCATCCACATCACTCTGGACAGTTCTGAAAAACCAATGAGAAAATTCAATTATCAACACACACATGAAAGTTGCTTCAGGTCAAATGGAAAGAAAATAAAAGAAATGAAAGTGTCCTAAAAGAACTTGATACACAGCGTAGTATGGTTTCTAAAGTATATGGTCTCCAGGCATGATAGCCTGGTGTGTGGCACACTCGGGCACGTCAGGACCCGGAAGACAATTGTGGCCGGCCACTGAGAAAAAGGTAGGGAACTTACAAAGTACCATTTCAAAGAAATGTGATGACCATAGAAATAAGGAAAGGAAATTGTCACAAAGACACCTCAAGGCCCTCTGCCCACCCATGCCTGTTGGGTCTACAACTTCATGAAATAATATACCAAGGCAGAGAGCGGGGAAGATGGAGGCCTGTTGTGGCAGAGTGGGGCACCAACGGAGCGGTGGTGACAGGTGACGGGAGACAGTGACAGGTGATAGTGACAGTGACAGGTGGTAGTGACAGTTGACAGTTACAAGTGACAAGTGACAGTGACAAGTGATGGTGACAAGTGACAGTGACAGTGACAGTGACAGGTGATAGTGACAGTGACAGGTGATAGTGACAGTGACAGGTGATAGTGACAGTGACAGTTGACAGAGACAGTGACAAGTGACAGTGACAAGTGACAAGTGACAGGTGACAGAGACAGGTGATAATGACATAAAAGATATATCTTGACTTTTGAAAAAAATAAACAAGGACAACGGCTATTCTGCTTGTTTGAATTGACCACTTTCCCGCCACTCTCTGAAATGTCGGTGGCCTAGTGGATAGGCTACCGGACTCATGATCGTGAGGTTGCGGGGTCGGGGGTTCGAGCCGTGGGCCCGACGTTGTGTCCTTGGGAAAGGAACTTTACACGAATTTTCCTCACTTCACCCAGGTGGAAATGGGTACCCGGCCATAGACAGCGAAAGATCTTGTCAATATGTTATTGTTTTAGTGCCTATAAATGACAGCTTGCACTGTTTGCTTCCCAGGAAGTTGAGTTTGTTTCAGAATGCTCTCAGGTCTGCTGGGGTAATAGTACAGATTGTGAAGTGCATAGACCTTGCTGTTGAGCAAGGATTTGCACTATACAAAGGCTATCTCTTTTTATTATTATTAAGCTCTTAAGCCAGATAATATAGGAAAACTGGCAAGAATTGGGATGAAAAATTGACCACCAATGGAAAAATAGCCATTAAATGCTTGGAAAAAGAATAACAAGGCCTAAAAAAAACAGAGAGGAAAGAAAAACAATTAACTAGACGCACCTTCCAACATCCAATGATTTCTATGACCTATAAAGCATGTAGGCCTTTTATTAGAATACCCTCAGGACTGTGACTGTGGTTCTATTAGTGAGTGTAGGCAAAAATTGTGTACGAGTAGAATGTGAGTGGAAGAGAGTATGTGTTTATGAATGAGTGTGCTCATATGTGTGTGTGTGTGTGTGTGTGTGTGTGTGTGTGTGTGTGTGTGTGTGTGTGTGTGTGTGTGTGCGTGTGTGTGTGTGTGAATGTGGGTGTGCCTGTGTGTGTGCCTGTGAGAGTGCATGCGTGCATGAATTTGTACGTGCGCGTACGCACGCATTTGTGTGTGTGTGTGTGAGCGCGTGTGTGCGCTGTGTGTATGAGTGGCATCATTAATCTAGTGTCTAGTGGTTAGGCTTCCAGACCATAATCCTGACCTTGCAAGTTTTGGGGGTTCGAGCCGCAGGCCCGACATTGTGTTCTTGGGAAAGGCACTTTACACAAATATTCCTCACTTCACCTAGGTGGGAATGGGTTCCCAGCCATAGACAATGAAAGAATCTTGTCAGTATGTTTGTGTTTTATCGCCTATAATGCTATCAGGTCTGCTGGAGTAATAGTGCAGATTGTAAAGCACATAGAGCTTGCTGCTGACCGTGGATTTGCACGAAACAAATACTATCTATTATTATTATTCTTTTCAGCGTCTGGACAACAAAGATTTACATCTTATATTATATTACCTTAAGCATCCTTTCACAACAAATTCATTTAACACAGCAGATCATAAACTAGGAGAAACCTCAGCAAGTAAAGGTAAACAAAAGGCTATACATGTGTCCTAAAAATCACTCAAGATGCTCACACATTCTAAAATATTAAAACTGATGTACTCATTTTAGATCTGTGTGCATTTGACAGAAGGCACATACTTCCCAAAAGCTCCCTTGGTTCGCTTGTGCATTTCACTTGATAGCCTCAGTTCCAAGGGAATATAGTGTAACATCCTGACAGATTATCATATATCATTCATATGTGGCATGACGCGGTGGAATTGACGAGCGCCCGATTTCTACGCATTATAACACATATGTACCTCACTGAAAACAGTCAAGAACACATTTGCAGAGGAGTGAAATGAGAAATTAAAGGCAAAGAAACTCTCCTCTGTGAAAACAACATTCTAAACAATAACTGATCCACTCAGCTAAAACACCCCATGCACATTGACATTCAAAAGTCGGGGGAACCACAAACCTCCATGACTGATTTGAAGTGTGCACAGCAGTTGTGTGGATATCCATCTGCTTCTGCAGCCCACTTATTTCAGCACGCAATGATGTCAGGCAAGATGATAGTTGATCTAGTGGTCTGTAACAAAAATTAAAAGAAAACCAAATTTCTAAAAATCAGAAGTGATATTTGGTAGAGTGATCTGTAAGAAGGGTGTTTTCAAACTTAAACTCATAGAGCGTTTACTTTCTGATTCTCAATTGCCATTCCAAAACCTAGTTGAGTAGAAACCTGTCCAAGATGACTGCCCAATGTCGACTGGTCTTCTTGGACAATGTCATAATTAAACAGGAAAATTGCATGGAAGATTTGGGACGCGGTTGTCAGTACAGATGATAGTCTCGGACAGAGGGTCATTACAGCAAATTTGACTGTGTTTTGCAGTGTCTTAAAAACTTCTATACAAACTCCAGATAGAGGTAAAAGGAAACATTTTATCTCAGTTATACTCCTTTTCCTCTTTAAAAACATGAACCAGATAAATAGCAGTCCAACATTAAGGACTAATTTATAAGAATATGTATATGAAAAAAAGTTTGTTTCTGTTTTTGTGGGTTTTTTGCAGCTTAATCATTTTCAATGCACAGGCAATGAAAAATTGAGAATAAATACCTTATTTTAACTTCTGCTCAGTACATTTCTTTTTAAACAAACAATAATAATTTCATATCAAATTTTTTGGGTGCACAACTAAACAAGCCCCTCAAGTTAAAAAAAAAAAGATTTTTAAAATTTTCCTTTGTGAATCAGTTGTAATGAAAAACATCCATGAAAGATAACTGGTATTTGTGATGAGGCAGTCAAGCATTTCACACGCAGGAGACCCGAGTTCTATTCTCAGGTGGAGACAATTTTTGTTGAGTATCTCAGTCTTTCTGATGGGATGTTGGATCCCTGTCAGCCCCAGTTTGACCTGACAGAGTCAAAGCCAGCATCCAACATGATCTAAATAGTGTCAATATGGGCATAAAATAAATAAAAAAACAGAAAGACATCCTTTATAATTCACAACACTTAACAGAACATGAGACACAGCCCTACTTGCTGTCCAATGGGGTCACTTTGGTGTCCTGGATGAGCTGCTCCACAGAGGCCAGGTCAAATGGCAAGGGCGGGATGACCACTTTACGCTCAATATTGGCCTGAACACTCTTGTCAATGCTGCCATTCTCGTTCAGTCGTTTGGTGAGCTGCAACAGAGACCAATGTCAAAAATCTAACTGGTGTCATCGAACCAGTTGTCAAAAGAACAACATAACCACTCAAACAACTGAAAATGATTAACACCCAATTCCCACAATACATGATATCCTATGAGAAAAGGACTGCTTCAATCCTGTCAAAGTGAACTGGGGTTGAGATAGTATTTTCTTGCAGAAAGACGCAGATCTCAATAAAACATCTTCCCCACAAAGGAGCAAGGAGATGAGCATGACTTCTACGTCACAGTTGCCAGTTTTTCTCAGTCTTTCTTTTTCTTCTGCATACCTCTGCTTGAGCTCAGAGGGTTACTGGCTGACTTCATCTCACAATGCAGCTGATTCTTACAAACAAAACCATTTTACCCATTGTAAATATGGGCATGGCCCTTCAGTTACGTCAGTTTGCCATAGTGAAATATCCTTTTTGTAGTGCAGATACATCTTCCTGCCTTTGACACAAGAGGCAGAATGGGTATAGGCGTCCATTTAAACGAAAATTTAAAATTTTTTAATTTTTGCAGATACGTCGGTCTGCCTTGGCACGGCAGAGCTGCTAGCATGACATTCTTAATTATATAATTTCAATCCAAAATGGACATAACAAACGTCAGGATTCACTCCAAAAACATATTGTGGGAGCTAAGGCAAAGGGAAAGAGAGGAAAGGGGAGACTTAAATAGAAGATGGGAACAAGACATAGAAACCAGGCTTGGAATCAAAATAATTCAGGCAGGCAGAAAGGTAAGAGACAGACTGTTTTTATGCAGAAAGGTCTGAGAAGCAATGTCCAACTATAGGAAAAGCTAAGACGAGAAAGAAGAACCCAAAATGAAGGTAACAATGGTCAGAATAAATACTTAACAGTATCTTTTTTTTTTTAAATAGCACCAGAAAGATTAGAAAATACACTCTTAAAGCCCACAATGAGTAATTCACTTACAAAACTATACTTTCATGTCCAGAGGGCACTAATCCTTTGAGCCCCGAGTTCCCCCTACAAGACCAAGCATACTGAGCTCCCTCTTGCTGACAGCTAGATTTACATCACTGCACATTCAGGTGTGCATTCAGGGCACAGAGGGATACAGGTACCTCACACTCAGGAATGCACTCACGTTAAAGGGTTAAATCTATTCAGATAGTTGTAAGCCTCCGTTAGACAATATCTGCTGTGGATGTTGCACCATTGGTAAAGTTAGGCTGGGGCCTCCACAACAGTGCCATCTATCCTACCAGATTGGCTGCATGTGTTACAGGTCAAGGGGGAGCACCAGCCGCCCGTATAAGAACCAACACACAAGAAAACAGTACCTTGTGATGCTGCACAGAGGCCTTGAGCGCTCCCCTCAGCTCATTGACCTGTGACCTCTGCTGTGCCTTCTCCTGTCGCAGGCTGCTAAGCTCCCCCAGCAAACTCTCAACCTCCGTCTGTTTGGTCTGGAGACAAAGTATAGGAGCAAACTTGTTGGGGTTATATCATTATCATCATCACCAACTGCCTTTCTCACCCCCCCCCCCCCCCCCCCCTAACTTCTGGAGTATAGGCTACTAACAAGAGTTCAGTTGGAGTTATGAAAGCCCTTACAAACAATAAGGATCATTTTGTGCTGGGAACAAGCCAGTCAAAAAGACAGAAGTAACAGCGAGATAGTAAAGAAAAAAGACCATCCAGAGTGTGTTTGTTTTTTAGTTCAATTTGAGAAGAAAAAAAAGCATAACAGCATGAGAGTGGCCACTTAGAGCAAGGAAAAAAGCAAGATAGACTGAAACAATAGTGGGGAAAGATTAAAAAGTAGGACCTACCAGTCACAGCTTCCAATCAATTGCAAGAAAGAGCACTACTGACAGACAGAAACATCAAAAGAGAAAGAGGAGAAATAAGTCAACCAATATGGGACCAGACAAGAAGAGGGAGGATATACAATGCATGATAAAACAAAGAAATAAAATATAAAATGTATGTGTTTAAACACCCCTATAAACACACTTTAGATCATCCAGGTGTAGGCTTCAACCTGGCCAGTTGGGCCAACACAAGCTGAGTGGGACACAAAATCCCAGTAGACAGACCAAGACTCAATCAAAATTCTCACTATACCGGAATCAAATTCATGTGTGCAATGACAAAGTGCCTAGCAACTACACCCTAGATGCCAGTAAGATGAAACAGTCAGAGGATGGACATTTAAAACAAGCTGAAAGAGAAAGGTCATGCTAAAGTCAATAGCAAAACAATAATGATAGATAACACCATCAGTCAGAGCGACAATAGCCACATTTTCCTAAGGACCAGATTGAGATAAGATTTTCAATGAACAAAAGAAAAAGCGGACCATAACAAAACGCTCACCATCAACCCAATGAGGAAAGAGTAAATAATGTAAGGGGTCAAAAAGAAAAAAAAAGAAAAAAAAACAGCATTTAAAAGAAGAAAAAAAAGGAAACAAAGAAAGGAAACCAAGTAAAGTACAGAAAGCACACAGAAGGCAGATTTGGTGTGCATCAAAAACATTGAAAGGCTCATTATGGGAAAACTCCCCTTTCCCTTCTTTTTCATTCAACTTTCCACAAAATTTGGCTATTGTCAAGAGCATTATAGCTTAATACTTGCTTACTTGATTTTCACTTTAGAAGATTGGGTTGAAAAAAAAAAGACACCTAGAAAAGGGGGAAAGTCAAAAAGCTAAAAAAGGTATAATAACCATAACAGCCAGTACTGATCGTGCTTGAAATATGAAAACAAAAGACCATACGGTAAAAGAAACAGACAGGAAAAAAGATACTGATCCTATTGATATCATCATCATCCGGTGCCTAGCATGGACCTCCACTTCACCCTGTCCTGCGCTGCAGCAATGGTGTCTGTTGTTCTTGCTGCTCCCAACCATGTTGTCATCTTGTCCAGTATCTTTTCCCTCTGTCTGCCTCTGCCTCTCCATCCATCAAACTTTCCTGTTGTTACAATATTCTCTAATGCTTCTTTCCGCATTGTGTGTCCGAAGAAATTTGCCTGTCATTTTCTTATATTCGTGATAAATTGTCTTCTATAATTTGCTTCAACCAGGACTTCTTCATTTGTTTTTCTAGCTGTCCATGGGATACGTAGCATGTGTCTTATGAACCACAACTCTGTCGCTACAATTGTTCTTTCCAGCTGTTTATTGATTGTCCACGCTTCGCACCCGTATAATAGGATTGGCTCGATGTAACTTTTCAGTACTCTTTTCCTCGTTTCCAGTGACAGATTGATGTTTGTTAGTATCTGTTTCATCTTGTGGAAGGTTGCTTTTGCTTGGCAAATGCGGCTTTTAATTTCGGTGTGACATCTACCATTTGATGATATAATGGTCCCCAAATATTTAAAATGTTGTACTTGCTTGAGGGTGGTATCATTGATTTTGATATTGCATGTTGGGATTGGAGTTTTTCTGCTTACCACCATCGTTTCGGTTTTGTTGATGTTTAGATATACTTTATTGATATAATAATCCACAAAATCAACTCAAGCAGAAAAGACAACAACAAAACCCAAAAACATGCTGTTTTGGCTTGTGAGGCCATTCTTGCCTGCAGAGAGATCTTCATGGCTTCCACCTCCTCCTGGGCCCGACTCTCAGCAATCTGGATCTGTTCCTGAGCTGCCTTCACTTCCTTGGACTTTTGATTGCACTGCCACTCCAGGTTCTGGGAAAAATAAATAAATAAATAAAACAACGTGTAAGGGGGAAAGTGGGAAGTAGTCATTTATACAGACGGGTGTCCTGGACAGATGGTTGTTAGAGCAGGTTCAACTACAATTTGTTCGTTTGGTTTGAGTAAGCACACCACAACAATAATGATCATTTATTGCAGGGAGAATAAAAAAAAGACAGACAGAAACAACAGAGGAAAAACAAAAAAGGAGGATCTACTAGTGGCACTTTCAGCTATCTGCATATGATATCAGGTGAAGACTCAAAAGCACAAAAAGGAAAGAAGTGATAGATTTCAGTCCAATTCAACCTTACAATTAAAGCAAAAGCTTAAAGTTTTATATAGATTACACTTACCATCACAACAAATGAAAAAAATATATATATATCAGCCTTCAACTCCATGTGATAATGTGAATGAAAACATTTATTTATTGGATGCAAAACTTGAGCCACGCCTTAGCTATGATCCATACAGAAGAAAAAAGGTGTGGGATAATTAAAATTTTAATTACTTTCCATTTCTACAATTTAATCCCTTCTAACATAAACTTACTAAGTCTGGTACGTGAAAAGCAGGCCATAGCTCCTTGAAGTTCAAACTCTTTATCTCCAGCGGCGCACAGTCAGAACTGCTGTGCCAGTGAGCCGCTGACAGCAGCTCGGGCACATTCCTTTATAACAACTTCGACATCAAATTACTTTTCAGCAATGGTTTCTTTTACTGGAAGTTCATTCATTTGATACAGCACTATCATAATAGGTTCGCTAGTTTCGATTTAATGACTCCTTTAGTGACGTTTTAGTCATTTTTAGATTTAGTACCAAACAGGGGCCCCAGGGTAGTAGGTTTACCCCCGCCGGAAATAAAGAGTTAAGAATACAAATAAGACTCAAATTTTAGCAAATTTGTAATTTTACTCTTTATCTCTTTCCTTTCATGTTCACATTCACCGAAGCAAATAAATGTGTCATGATGCGGTGGAAACAGGCACTCATCAATTTTTAGGGCATGTTAAGTTATTTCTGTAATCTTATAGCCTGTTAATTTTTCGTGCTTTAGATGAAAAAAATACACATCTATCTTGAATAGAAGTCGAGATATTTGCAATTGAATGAGGTGGGTCACCTGATTTCAGAGGTAAAATTAGCGAGAAAATGGCTGCCAAAGTTTGGTAACCACCAAAGATTAAGAGTCCTTGGAAATGACACATTTACATTTTTGTGCCTTTAATCAATGTTTTCCAGTAAAATTCAAACAAAAATGTGTTCTTAAATGGATATAAAAAAGAAAATTAGCTAAAATTTCCCAGAGGCCAGAAAAATGTCAGTTACTTTAATTACATTATTTTGATGGGTGCCTGATTTCACCGTGATGCCTCATACATATGTATTCCCATTAAAACATTCACAAACTCTTGCTTAGAAACAGGCACATGAATGAATGAATGTATGAACGCATGAATGCATATCCACATGCCTGCATGCTCTAACACACATTAACACACACATGCACGCACGCACACATGCACGCACGCACACAGACATCCACGCACACACACGCACACACACACACACCCACAAACAAACACACACACCCACACAACCCATCACCTGGATCTGTTCCAAAAGCACAGGTTGCCGTGCTAAGTTGTCACTGAGGTCTCTTTTCACACGCTCCAGCTCCCCCTCCAGAGCACGGGCCTGTGCTGAGCTCTCCCTGGCCTCTGTCAGGTGCATCTGTGACATTTGGTTGGCCGTTTCTAAGTCGGCCATAGCCAGGGTGGCCGCCTGCTGACTGGCCGACAAGTCTTTCTTCAGCTGCTCTAGTTCCTCTCGAATCCCCTCATTTTGTTTCTTCACTCGCTTGTTCTCCATGATTTTTGTACCCATCTAAGAGGTAGTAAAAAAGATGACACAACACTTTGTTTGTTTGAGTAGAGAGAGGTACAACAGTGTTTAGCAGCAGCTATGGTGTAAAGGTTATGATCTTCACCATGCATGGAGAGAACAGGAGTTCAATGCCAAGGTTGGAAAGATATTTTATTGATGTCTGTCAAACTTGCTAAGACAGAAACCTGCCGAAGGCAGAATCTTGCCTTGGACAAGTCAATCTGCTTCCTGAAAGTAAAATTCTGTATGTTGAACTTGTAAAGAATAAAAGTATAAAAGAAAAGAGTATTTTTTAAATTGGATTGTAGCCATCTGAAAACAAGGCCCCCACAAAGTACGAAAAACAGTCGCATACATAAAAATCAGTAGCACAGCAGGTTGAAGAATCAGCAGTCAACTACCCCTGAGATCTAGCAGGGGAATGCAAAGAAGTAGAAGGAAACTTGACGAAAGCGGAACTGAAACTAAAAACTTGCACCCTTTCATAACAATCAACCTGTCCAACATAAGAAAATTGTGGCTATGAGAAAGCTCTGATTTGGAATAAATAATTGACAAACATCAGTCACTGAAAGGAAGATAGGCTTTAAATTGGGCCATGATCAGAAAGGACACACCCCAGTGACCACCCATCTGATCCCCGTATCACCGACACTTGCTTGACATTACTTGAGTCTAAACTCACTACTTACTTCGCCACTGGAGCCCCAGTGCACTATCACAGGATATAAAAGGAAGACCAATACAGGACCCATCTACCATAAATTCACTCACTTGCTTCCTGAGTTCTCGCTGGACCTCCACTTCCTTTTCCACTGCTGTCTCCAGGCCTGAGATCCTGTCCAGAAACTTGGCATCTCTCTCCTCCAGGTGGCGGCCCGAGTCCTCCACCGTACAACGTAGGTCGGCCAGGGCTGACTCCCTCTGGGCCAGAGCCGACTCCACCTGGTGGCTGTGTTCTTTCAGCTTAGCGTTCTTCTGGCTCAGCCCTGGAGTAAGATTACAAACCACGAGTGTAAACCACTAATGGCGGATGTATAAGTAAGGTTGAGTGATTGTGTGCCTACCCCTGTGCTAATGTCTATGTGCATTATGAGAGTGAGCCTGTATGCAAGTGTGTGTGTGTGTGTGTGTCTGTGTGTGTGTCTGTCTGTCTGTCTGTCTGTATGCATGTCTGTATGTCTGCATTTGTGAGTGTGTGTGTGTGTGTGTGTGTGTGTGTGTGTGTGTGTGTGTGTGTGTGTGTGTGTGTGAGTGAGTGTGTGTGAATGTCTGTGTATTTTAAAGCAAAAGTATAGATGAATATATGAATGATTTTATGAACTCGAATGTCACCTAAAATTTTATTATTTATATAAAAAGCCAAGAGCCCAAAAAGGGAGTGAGTGCCACAGAAATTTACTTATCATTATTATTGTTTTGTTGGGGTTTTTTGTCCATTGTCCTACTTTTATGAAATGTTGTTACGTATATGACATACTAGCTGGGCTCCCTTTCGAAGAAAGGAATGATCAGTGCATTAACATCAACTGAATATCATTAGTCCACTACATTTACACTCTACTGGAATGGAGTAATACATCTTGAGAGAAAAGTGACACATGTGTTTCCAAGCTGCCAAATATATAATAGATGCATATATTAATTCTCTATTACGCTTTCGTGGTTGTACAGAAGCGTGTTGATTGTTCCCAGTAGCAAGAAAAAAAATTTCACAAAGGAGTCAAGAAAAAGCGACAATGGGCATCAAAAGAAAGGATCACAGTCAAATTTAGCACCAAGTAAAAAAAGAAAACATGAGGCTAGATCTATGCGGGTCGCAAACTTAAAATAGTGCTCAATATTGCACGACAAGGCGTGATAGTATCGAACGGAAGTACGACTTGAAATAAACAAACCTGGCAGATTTTCTAAAATTACAGAGACAGAAGCGTCAGCCTACAAACGCGATCGACAAAATAAAAACATTTAGCTTTTTGCTGCAAAACTGTCTCAAAACTGAAAAAACGAAGGGCGTCATGATCTGGAGAATATTTTTAAGAATCTATTGGCGAAAACCGCATGTCGATTGATCCAGCCATTAAAAAGCCCTTTGAATAGCAAAATTCTGCCACCACAAATAGATAATAGAAGATTGTTAGACATAGTTATGGTTGAAAAAATCACTTGGAAGTTGCTTGTGGCTCCTACTACAACAAAAGATGACTTTGCCACATATTGAACACTTAAAAGCTTCATTTCCACTAAAGGGCTTCTCTTTCGGCCTCAGCATTTCCAATTCATGGAGCTTCCGATGATTTGACGCCCTCTGCGATTGCAGTTCTCCAAACATTATCTTTAATAACCAATGTCCAACCAACACAATCCTCAGCTTAAGAAGGCAACACTCAAAGCAGAAGTTTTTCAACAACTAACCAAACAGAGTTGAAAAAAGTATGTCAAACATGACGAAAAAGAAGGAAAAAAAAAGCATGACTTCTCTCACCCATGACACGCCCCTTCTCCTTCTCCAGCTCTAGTTCCAGCCTCTGATTGTCTGCATTGGCCTCCACCAAGAGATTGCGTTGAGCATTCAGAGCGTCTAGCTCTGCCATCTGTGTCGTCAGCCGCTGTTGCAAAGTCTCGACTTCTGCCACCTTCTGGGCCTGCAGCGTCAGCAGCTGCTGTTCAAGGTCATATTTCTCATCTCTCTCTCGCTTCAATTCCGTTGCCAGGTTCTGTAGAGGGGCATGTACAGGACTACATACAACAAGACAAGACTAAATAAGAACAGGTATGATACTAGGATAAGATAAAACATAAACTGCAGCTAACCCTGTCCAAGATGACCACCCACTGTCGAGGAGAAGAGTGGTCATCTAAGGTGGTCATTATAAAAAGTTTTTAGAGAAGATTTGACCGTATATCAAACTGCAATGGGCTGGCTCACTTTCACCAAGTTGCCAGCAGCTGATGGCAAGGTGGGGCCTTCCTGTGCCCTTCTCCCATTCCAACTAGACAAAGCGTCAAGGACAACCATGGAAGGAAGACTAAGGTAAGGTAGGATGAGATAGGATATAACTTAAGGGAAGACCCGGGTCAGCGATCCAAGGCAATATCGATACAATTTTTCAAACTATCCAACTTTTGTTTTTTGCGGAAAAACATCCTTTGACATCTGTTCTATCGAGTCAAAATGAAGAAACTGTTGAAAAAACACACTAAATGGCCTAAAAGGGCGTTTGAAAAGTGCAAATTGCTTTAAAAATCCTTTTAAAAATCCATATTTTTTCTGTTTTTCTCAAAATCTACTTTTTGACATATGTGACCTCCTGGGTGCAAGGAGTTTTCAAAAACTACAGAAGCTAGAAGCTTCAAATTTGGTGTACAGGAGCTTTAAGATCAATTCTGGGGATCTATGAAATAGAATTGGGAAATATTGGTAACTTAAGGAAATATTCAATTTTTTTGTAATATGTACCCCGAAACTTCGTCAACTGACTCTAGGGGGTCCACTGACTTTGGGCTCACTTTTTTAGTTTTAAAGATAGGTCAAAATCCTTTCATAGATCCCCAGTTCATATAGGTTTGTACTTGTGTGCCAAATTTCAGGCTGATAATTCAATATTTACTATGAAATTCTTCTGCACTAAGAAACTGGTTTGAAAATCCAAGATGGCCGCCACAGAGACCCATTTTAAGAAAAATTCAACAAATTCACCCTTAGTACATCCTATTTACCTATGAACTTCTTGCACAATTACTTGAAATTGAATAAAAGTCATTCGTTTAGAAAATTTTTCCAGGAGTGTACGTCTCCCCTTAATAGACCACAATAGAAAAGTCCCTGTGCAGATCTATTTAATTAAATGCCAAACTCTGTCCACACTGTACCGATCCTTTAAAAAAATCACAAGAACATACCGCAAGCCACAAACAGTCAAGAAAACAAAAACATAACATTTCAAATTTAACATATACACACACACACACATCTCCCTTCCCTACCCCCCTCTCCCCACATTTCAAAAAATCATCCCTCCAACCACCCTGCTTCAAAATAAATAAAATGAAATAAAATGTGAGGCATTGCGGTGAAATCAAAGGCGCTCGTCAAAATAACGAAATTGGAAAAAAGGGCATTTTGCACCAGTTTGGCAGTTTCTATAGATTTTTTGTTTTTTGGCTGAATCCATTTTGTGTCCATGTAAAAATACCGCTCCATTTGAATTTTACGGAAAAACGTTAATTAAAGGCACAAAATATGTCATTTTGCAGTTTCCACTGACATTTTAGCTATTGGAGTTTCCAAACTTCGGCAGCCATTTTTTTGTTAACTTCACCACTTTTTATTTGAAAGCAAGGCAAATAAATTAAATAAGCTTTCAAATGATACCAAAAACTCCACATACCCAAAAATTGACGAGCACCTGATTCCGCCGCGTCGTGACACAAATAAGCATTACCTGATGAGTTTCACCTGAATCTCTTCAGCAAAATTACCTTCAGCTCCAACAACCTCCTCACCTGAATCTCCTCAGCAAAACTATCTCTTTCCTCCAGCTGTGACAACTCCTGAGAGCGTCGGGCAATGCCCAGCTCTGTCTCCAGCTGCTGTTTGTCCACTGTCAACTTGAAAGTTCACAAAGAAAAGAAAAAAAAAAGTTGTGCGTTGTTTTCCTTACATATATGACACCAAAATTCTTGACACAGTAAGCTGTATCCTCTGTAGAACATTGATTATACTTGCTCACACAGAAGAAAAAAATGTATAAAACCCTAATTTTATGTGAAACTCAAGAAAACTGCTGGATCATCATTCCTAAAAACCCTTTTTCTCACTGTATAAAATATCAAATGAATAAAACTGTCATTTATCATTACTTAGAAAGGAATATGAAACGCTTAAATTTTTTTTTGTGGGGATTTTGGAAATACTTTTCTTTGGACACAGTCAAAGCATCCTCATAATAACACTTACAATCATCTATCAATTCTTACCTCTTTCAACTTTTTATCCAGCACATCGACATTTTCATCATATGCCTTCTGTCTGTCCAGCAACTCCCTTTTCAGTCTGGCAATTTCAGTGTGCATCTGTTCGCGCTCCAAATCAAGGCTATTGGCCTCCTCCCTCTCTGTCTCCTCTAACACTTTGATCCTTAGCCTCAAGTCTTCTATCTCCCCTTCGTAGATTTTAATCTTGTCTACAGGAACGCTGTCTTTGGCTTTGGCAACCATGGCCTCTAGTTCTGAGACCCTCACCGTCAGTTTTTCCTGAGCATTGGAAAAACCAGAGTTAGAATATTCAACATTGTTCATTTTGTTTGGTTTTTGGGGGGTTTTTTGTTTGCCAAAAGATTCATTTGACTCATAGAAAGCACATTTTTCAAATTAATGTCAATCAAACATCATATGATTTTGTTGTTGAATCATAGTCTGCTGCCATATTTTGCCAATAAAAAATTATGACAAAAGCAGCACGGAGGAGAACTTTCTATTTTTAAATGTAAGTGTTTTTAATGCCTCCCTCCCCTCCCAATCGACAGAATTTTGATCATTTGGGAGACTGACTTTGACTCTGCCTGTCAGCGCAGCAGAAGTGTGACAATGACAATGGCAATCTTTATTCATCTCGCAGGCAGAAATTTGTTTTGGTCGCATACAATGGCAGTAGACGTTACAAAGCTTAGGTGCACTCACGCTTACGCACAACAAGACCACAAGACCGGTAGTCAGTAAACTCTCTCTCTCTCTCTCTCTCCCTCTCCCCCTCTCCCTCTCTCCCTCTCTCCCTCTCTCTCTCTCTCTCTCTCTCATTCATTTGTAGATCTGTCTGTTCTTGCTTTTTTGGAAATGTATCGTTTACTGCGGGTCGATAATAGAAATTCCGATGTCAGTGGGTGGCTATGGAGATACTCTACTATAAGAATTCTAACCACACTCAAATGGACTCAGGTCTTCTGCATGTAATGACTTTGGAGAGATCCGAAGGAAATATTATAAATGCAAGAAATTGCAAGACATTTTTTCCATCGTTGGTCCCAGCAAAATTTTGAATTTTATGAAGGCCATTGGCCTTTATGGCAAATTGTAAAGTGAAATCGAACTATTAAAATTTTTTATTGTTATTTATAAGAGTTGTTTTAAATTGAAAATATATTTACACCGAATTATTAGACTTTAAAATGCTAAAATATTACAATTCGGTGTAAATATATTTTCAATTTAATCGAACATGATGTTTTTTCCTGTCTCTGATAGTGTGTGAATTTTCTGTTGTAGCCTAACTATTTTTGGGTGTAAGAGTGTGTAGTTTGTGAGTGAGGTGATGCAAGACAGAGAGTCAGAAAGGATTAGGAAAGATTTGTTCGGAGAATTTTTACGGAGTCCAGTGCCATGTCAATGGCAGTGGCCTCCGCAGAGAAAATGGAGGCTTCAGAATGGAGTCTCCTCTGGTGTGTACTGTTGGGAGATAGGGCTGCGGCGCTCACTTCATTGTCTTTTTTGGAGCCATCCGTGAAGATGAGCTTCGCACCGGGGTATTTATCTATTAGTTTTTTGTATTCTGCTTTAAAAGTTTTGGTGTTTGTGCTTTCTTTGCTGTGTGTGGTCAGCTGTAAGTCTACTTTTGCCTTGGTGAGGTGCCACGGAGGGAGGTCGGGGAAAAGAAATTGTTGGATGTCTTGTTTGGAAAAGTGTATGTTTTTGAGGTCCTCAAGGATTCTGAGGCCGAAGGGTTTGATGAGTTTTTCATTATTTTGGAATTTGTTTATGGTTTCTGGGTTTGTTTTAAAAATGCTGTTGTGCACTGGATTTTCCGGTGTTGAGCTCTGTTTAACTGCGTATTGTAGTGAGAGTTGTGTGCGTCTGAGTGAGAGTGGTGGTATGTTGGCCTCGGCCTGGAGGCTCTCCACCGGAGAAGTGCGGAAAGCCCCCAGAGCGAGGCGGAGTCCTTGGTTCTGTATAGGGTCTAGCATTTTTAAGATGTGTGATTTTGCCGATCCGTAGACTTGACAGCCGTAGTCAAGCCTGGACCGGACAAGGGTTGTAGGTTTCAGTGTTGTTTGAGTGGAAGTTTAGGTGTTGTTTTTCTCTGTTAGTTTTGATGCTTTGAAAAGTGGTGTTATAGTTTGCTTGGAATGAGTTTTCGGCGAGAGATGTAGCTATTGTGTTTGCGATGTCTACTTGTGTTTCAGCTGTGGTTCCCTCCGGCCTCTGGACGTGCCGAATGGTGTCTGTGAGTCTACTTAAGAAATTTTTAGCAATTTTGAAAACTTGATTGAGCGGTGTCTGGCTGCTGATTTTGGAGATATATTATTGGAATGATTGTCTTTTACTCTCCCTGAGGCATCTACGTGCCACAGCTCGAGCCTTTAAATAGTTTATCTTGTTTTCTGTGGTGGTGTTGTTGACGGCTTTTCGATACGCTGCCTTCTTTTTCTTTACTGCATCCTCACATTCCCAAGAGAACCAGATCTTGTTCCTCCGGGGATTTGTTTTTGTTTTTGGAATGTGTTTGTGGCATATTTCTAAAAGCTTTTCGTGGAATTTATTGTAGTTGAGGTCGAAATTGGGATTAAGAATCTGGGAACATTGATTGGCAAACCCGTCCCAGTCTGCTTTTTTGAAGTTGAAGCGTTCTGGGATCGGGTCGTTTTGGAGGCTATTGTTTTTTAGAAGAATTGGGAAATGGTCTGTACGGTCATCCAACACAGACCACTCAAGATCTGGGACTAGGTCAGGGGTACAAAAGGTGAGGTCAAGGGATGAAGTGCCATAAGTGGCTCTGTTTCTGTAAGTTGGGGATTTATCATTTAAGAGACAGATGTTATTTTGAAATAAAAAGTTTTCTATTATTTTGCCTTTCTGGTCTGTAGGTTTGTCTCCCAAATGGGGGCTGTGGGCATTGAAATCACCTAGCAAAATAAAGGGTTTTGGAAGCTGAGCCTTTAAGTCATTTAGTTGGGTTATTTTGAGGGGGTAATTTGGTGGGATATAAACTGAGCAGATCGTGATTGGTCTGTGCAGGGTGACCCGTACGGCAATAGCCTGGAAGGTCATCTTAAGATGTACTTGTCTGTGGAGTGTGTTGTTGTCGGTGTAGATGGTGGTACCACCGGAAGCAATCTGGTTCTCCGTGTGAATGTGATGGTACGCAGTAAATCCTATTAAGTCTATGGTTGAAGCCGGGGCGAATTTTGTTTCTTGAATACAGGCCACCCGTGGGCACAATGTGGCCTGTAAATGTTGCAATTCTGCAATGGAAGGTCGGATTCCGCCGGCATTCCATTGCAGGACCGCCATTATGATTTTTTAGTTTTTATTTTGGAGCTCAAAGGCCCCCCGGCTTCGAAGAAACACTCTGACTCCTCCTTGCGGGGGAGGCAGAGTGTTTTCTAGGTTGCCGTCCTGGATTGGACGGCGGTCTAGTGGGGGAATTGGAGGAGTGACAGACTTCGCCCTTCCCGGGGTCAGGCCAGGGAGGGGGGATCGGAGCTGTCTTCCTCCACTGGTTGGTGGTGGGGTAGGGGGGGTGTCTACTGGAGAGGGAGGGGGAGGAGGAGCAAACGGAGGGAGCTGGGAAGAGGGGGAAGGGTGCACCTCACGCTCCATCAGAGGGATGAGGCGTGAGGTGGAAGAAGAAGAAGAAGGAGGAGAAGAAGAGGAAGAAGAAGAGGAAGTGATAGAGGAGGGGGGAGGGGGAGGAGAGAGGGCGGAGGGATAATCCACCCTGTCCTCCCCTAGAACCTCAAAGCGGTTTGTCAGAGATATCTCGGTGGAAGGAAGAACCTTTTTAGTTTTAGTCACAGAGACATGCCTGTTGACCGTGGGCTTTGGGAGGTCAGCAGTAGAAGGACTTGCCGACCTCGTGGCTTCCCGTGCCACCTTTGCGTATGACCGGCCAGGGACCGGGGTCACAACTGGCGGGTACGTAGCTTTGCGGGCCTCCTGAAACGAGCAGCCATTTCGTACTTTATACTTATACTCTAGGATTGCGCGTTCTTGGATCCAAGTCGGGCCATCCTTACTAAAGGCTGTGTGCTGGCCGTGGCAATTGGGGCAACAAGTACTAACCTTGCATTCCTTCTCAGGATGCCCGGTCTTGCCACAATGAGGACACACGGCTGCGAGTCGGCATCTCGACTGACTATGTCCGAACTTCTGACACTTGAAACAACGCAGAGGTTTCGGTACATAGGGTCGCACGTCTAAGACCAAGTACGATGCCCGAATGGTGGCTGGAGGGCGACACGAATCAAAGGTCAGGATGACCGTGTTGGTTTCGAGGGTGGTATCCCCCCGCCGGAGAGTAATCCGGCGGGTGTGGGTCACACCTTCGCAGTTCGCCACTATTTCCTCCATGCTGCAGCCCTTTAGTTCATGGCTGCGGACGACGCCCTTCGAGCAGTTCAACTTCTGGTATCGTTCGGAAGTACATGGAATACTGCCGAAGGTCGTGATGTTCAGAAGTTTGGCCACTTCAGTCTCTGTTGCGCACTTGACGAGGAGTACACCAGAGGACAGCTTCTGGACATTCGTAGGAATGTATCCCAGAACCTGTCTTAGTGCATCTCCCGTCTTGAACAGATTCAGATCAGTGATCTTCTTCTGTGCGTCTTCGTTGCTGCTGATGGCCACGTACGCCTGCTTCAGAAGCTCCCTGGGAGAAGGGAGAAAGGAGGCAGACGTAAAGGTCCTTTTTCCAGTTTTGGAGTTTTTGCTCGGCTCGGCGGCCGCACCCGCTTCCGCGAGCCGAGACTTTTTGACGTTGGGAGCTGGGGAAGGGTCTTTTAGAGTTTTAGAATCCATGAGAGTGTTCTATTTGATTCAACTCCAGGGCTCCCTGCCCGCCATGGAGCCCAACAAGGGGACACATTGCTCGGATGACCAGAGCTGTGCCAGGGCTACCCCGGAGCTATACTCTCAACGAGAAAGTACAAGACCCTCCCGTCAAGATTGACCCAGGGCTTGATGGGGTTTCAGCTCTCAACCGATTGAGTGGCATGGGCCGTGCCACCCTCCCGTCTAAGAGGAAAACCTGGGCCAAAGAGGTGTGTTGGCGAGGGACAGTCCGTGGACTGATCTCACCTCAACCGCCAGGTACCCGGTTTCCCTTCGCACGGGTCGCACCTCACGGTCAACGAGGCACCCACTCTGTGGGATGGGTGACCTCTCGTTTTGCTGCACATGAGGTCAGCGGTGGTAGGAAAGATAGAAGGAGAAAGAAAGAAGGAAGGAGAAGAGGAAGATACACCAAAGTAAGCGTCGCACACGGATCCCAGAGGGTTGGGTCTGTGAGTGACACTCCGCCTTTGAGGGGGTTGCACCTTCTGCAGACGAAGCAGTGGGTCTATTTATATCCCCCCAACCCACTGGGGGTGAAATAAAAGTCTGTCTCTCTCCCCAAACCATGAGGTATATAAGGAAGAGACCCTGTCCCTGGCCACCTCCTCCAATCTTGGCCTCCTTTTCTTTTTCCAGTTTGTCTCCAAATACCATGCCTGATACTGATAAGGAAATCTGGTCTCTGGCATTCTTAAAACTGTCATATCTCCATGGTCATGTTGATATCTTCAGCTTCAGCTCTTTCCAACATTTCACTATTATTAATTTCGTTTTATCAATAAAATTCATCGTAAAATTTCATTTGGCAGCTTTTTAAAATTTTTATTGGATTACTTCATATGTTTTCCATATCTTTACACCATACATCAGTACTGTCAAAACATTGCTATTTTTAATTTTGTTCACAGTGCAGTGAATCTTTGAATTCCCAATTGTTTTCAATTTCACAAAAGCAATCCATGTATTTTAAAGTCCTTGATGAACATTGACTAAGCAGCGGGATTCATGGACCGACATCTACAGTCCAAGTAGTCTCGTGACATTTATTACTCTTCTTTATGCCACCACAAACTGCTGGTGATATCAAGTAAGTAGTTAGCAGGAAACCAGTACAATATGGCCATATTTCGGCGAGAGGTTCATTAAGACAAGAAACAAGAAAACAAAAAAAGGCGCATACCACATGTGTACCATCTACAACACTATAATTTGGTAAAAGAACAAACCACTAACAAGTACCTCCCTCTTTAAGAGAGGCGCCTGCTTTGACTGCACTTAAATCTTGCTTATATCCCATTTTACTAACAAGTTTTATTCTTCTTTCAAAGATAGATGTGGTTAGTAGCCACAGTGACTGTCTTTTTGTGTACACGTTCGTCAGATTATAAGGGTATATGTATTTGAAAGAATTGTACATTGAATAGGCCAGTATGCATGAAATTTTGATTTAAATCTTATTCTATTGTGAAACGCCTTGAGTCACCAGAGAGTGGGTGCTATAGAAGTAATCCTTATTATTATTGTTATTATTATTATGTTTCTTACCACAGTCAATGTAGCCTCGGCAACGGCTTGAGTCTTTTCATTCAATTCTTGCTGCACTACTTGGACCTGGATGAATAAAAAAAATACTGTCAAATCAAAACTACAGTCCTTAACCCTATCCGTACGTCGTGTTTTACTATCGTATCCATACGACCTGGGGTGCCCTGTGCCCCCAGTTTCCAAAGAGGAAATTTGCTCATTAATCCGATCCGTATGCTGTGGGGTAACAAAAAACCTCAAGTATTCGAACCCACGGCTGGATTCGAAACGCTTTAAGATCCAAGATGGTGGCAACTAGATTTGTAGTCTACGTGTCGAGGGTTCAACTGGCTAAAACTAATGTTGCTCAAGCCTTCATATTTCACAGAAAGTTGGGTCTAACATTAGCTCGTTCTCTCAGTTCTAGAACTTTGTTTTCTTAGATCTAGACCTAAGGAGGCGGGGAAGAACATTCTCAAGGTAGGTAATCGAGTCCATGATTGATTTGAAAAATAAAATAAAATAAAATCAGGTCAATTTAAAAACCAAATCAAATTAAATCAAATCAATTTGAAAAAAAGACCAAATCAAATTAGGTCAATCTAATGAGATCAATTCAAAAAAGGTCAAATTTACAAACAAGATTGAATCAAATCAAATTAATTCAATATATAAGGTCAAATCAAATCAGGTCAGTTTGATAATCAAGATCAAATAAAATCCTGTGAAATTACTGACCCTCAGCCTTAGTTCATTCTTCTCTCCCTCCAGCCTCGCCTTCTCTCCCTCCAACTGGTGTTGTGTGGCACTTTGTCCATCCGCACTGCGGGTCATGGCATCCACACTGCGCGACTTGATGTCCAGCTCATGCTGAGAACGGTCAAGCTCCTCCTGGGGACAGCCAGTGAGGGATTCAAACTCTGGCTTGATTGAACCTGCTTTCAAAAAAGTCTGTCCAAGACAACTGTACAAATGACCAGTTACCCCACTGTGTTTTTTTATTTCATAATAACCCTGTCTGAGTGGATCATCTGTCTTAGATGGCCACTTTCCTCCTAGACGATGCTGAGTCCTCTTGGACAGGTTTTTTTTTTTTTGGGGGGGGGGGGGGGGTTGGGTAAGTGTTCTACGCCACTCGCAACTGCATTAGGTCATATGAGCGCGCTGGACAAACCAAACATTTTCAGATGGTAGGATATTTTGAATTTTGCCCGGGCGGTGGCTGAAGCCTGCTCTTATCAATTTTGGACCACCAAGGGATCTTTAACGTGCCTAACTTGCACATGGGACCTCCGAGATTTGTTGCCCTTGTCCGAGAAGGCTAGGTGTATATCTTTCATACTATAACTATAAGATCAGGGGTGTGGCTGAAAGACAACAGTAAGAAGGAGCCAAGGAGAAGCAGTAGAAAGGCTGCAAAAAGAGTCAGGAGCCCAGAGGAGGGGACAATGGAGGTGACGGGGTAGGGGCAGAAATTGGAAACAAAAGCAGACGACCGAACATTGTTAGAGAACAGGAAAGGATGTGAAAGGAGAACATTTCTAGAGAAGAAAATTTTCCGTCGCTATCCGGATTCGAACCCGGGAACTATTGAATGCGAGGCGAGCACTTTAACCTCTAGGCCAAAAGAGCCCCCCCTTGGACTGGTTTCACTGTATTTGTGAGGGATCGTGGTGAAATCAGGCACTCGTCAAAATTATGAAACCGAAGAAATCAACACTGGCAATTTTCATTTATTTTTTTTATTTTTTTTTTGCTCAGCACCTTTTATGCCATTTAAAGATTCATTTCTCTGTGGATTTTATTGAAAAACATTGGTGAAATGTATACAGTGTTAAGGTTTAATTTCCAAGGACTCTTAAGCTTTATAAGTCACCAAACTTTGGCGGCAATTTTCTCCCAAATTTTACCTTTGAAACCAGGTTACCACCACCTTCAATCACAAACACCTCGACTTCTATTTAAAATAGATGGGTACTATTTCAACAAAACCAAGACAAACGAACAAGCTATAAGATGATACCAAGAACTCGATATCCCCAAAAATTGTTGAGCACCTGATTCCACCATGTCATGATAATAAAACAAAAGCTAATTTCACTGAGTAATGGCCTTTAGTTACCTAAGAAAGTGAACAGACAATGAGTCTATTTGTTAAAGAAGAGCCATCAAGTTGTGTGCCAAGAAAACAAAAAGGCCTAATAAAAAGGCTGTCTGAGGCTCTTGTGGCCTAGAAGTATGGTGTTCACATTTCATTCCATAGTTTCCGGGTTCAAATCCTGACAAAGATGGAAAAATTTTTTTACTCTAAAATGTTACACGTTCTTTCCAGTTCTCCAGTCAGGTTTTGTCATCTGCTTTCATTTCCACTTCCTGCCCCCCCGGGGGGCCTCCCCCCCCATCTCTGGGCTCCTGTTTCCTTTACTCCTAACTCAGACCTGCCACTCTATGAAATCTAAAAATCAGAATTTTAAGAGTTAAAAAATCAGGATCTGGTGAAAAAAATCAGGATCAAAGGCAAATCAGTGATAAGGGGCACTGGGGGGAGGGGGTTGGTCCTGGTTTCCTTTTATGAGGCAAGTATGCAAGACAAAACTTTTGCAGGAATAAGTTCACGTTTGGGCCTCTCAATAGAGAGAAAACTGAAAGACAGCATATATGTACTCAAGTCTGAGTTGGATAGACTGGGGGAGCCCAGGTTGCAGTAATGCTGAAACTCTCGTAGTCTTGAAAATAGCTGGCACATAACTCTAATCATCCATGCAAAAAGCCCGCTTTTTCATACAATAACAGCGTTTGACTTTCATCGCACATCTTACTACTAATGGAGCTAAGGGCAAATTTTGCGAACAGTATATTCTCAAAAACTACTGAATGAAAAAATATGAAACTTTGCCAGTACCCATAACTTGAAACGTAGTGTTGCACTATTGTATTTTCATTAAGATCAAATGTGTAAGAAGAAAGCCCAGTTTAAGTTAAATCGATCAATTTAGTCCTTTTGTAGCGATCGCCATCATTTGCTTCGACATTGTATCTTCACTGCGGAGTGCCGACTGCGCCAAAGGGTATTTTGTCAGTTGTACATAAAGTAGGTTTACGGGAATTCCCGATTTCGGTCTCACGCCTTTAGGAGGAGGAAGAAGAGGAGGAGGAGGAGGTGTAGGTGTAGATGGAGCAGGAGGAGAAATGAAGGAGAAGAAGAAGAAGAAGGAGAAGGAGAAGGAGAAGGAGAAGGAGAAGGAGAAGGAGAAGAAGAAGAAGAAGAAGAAGAAGAAGAAGAAGAAGAAGAAGAAGAAGAAGAATGAGGAGGAGGAGGAATTAGAGGAGGAGGAGGGGGATAACAAGAAGAAAAAAAAGGAGAAGAAAAATCAAGTAGTAATACATGTTACAAAGTGGTGACCTTTTCGTTTGTTACCCTACCTTGGAAGAGAGAGAGAGGTGGAGAGAGAGAGAGCGAAAGAGAAAGAGGGAGAGAGAGAGAGAGAGAGAGAGAAAGAGAGAGAGAGAGAGAGAGAGAGAGAGAGAGAGAGAGAGAGAGAGAGAGAGAGAGAGAGAGAGAGAGAGAGAGAGAGAGCGAGGGGGGGGGGAGGCCAGAAAGCACTAACAGAGGGAGGGTGGTGAGAGTGACAGGGAGGGTGTCGTCGAAAGCGCAAAGAGTAGTCTAGCCTACCGTAGGCCTACTTAATGTATCGAGATAAATCGAGATCAAGAAGAATCACGAAATGAAAGTAGAATCTAGATCTGTGATAGTTCGATAACCTATTGAATATTGAAAGTGGATTTTTCTTGCTGAGCTTCATAGATTCTAAGATCTAGATCTAGGATAGATCTATGTGAATCTTAGATCGAGATCAAGAATGATGAAAGTATTGAACGTGGATTTTTTCCTGCTGTGAATAGATCTGGAGTCTACAACTAGGCTGTAGGTGAATCTAGATCGAGATCAAGAATCATGAAAGTATTCTTGAAAGTGGATTTTTCTTTCTGTGAATAGATCTAGAAATCTAGGCCATCTGTGACGCCTGTCGGTTATTAAAAAAGTGAATTTCTAAACTTAGACCTATCTATGGGCCAAGGCTCCTTCTTTCAATTATTGGCCTAGATCTATGTCTTTATAATCCTTCAAGATCTAGGCTAGATCTAGAATCAAGATTAGGCTCTTCTAGGAAGCAACAATTGGCATGTAGGCCTAACTCTTTTTTTTTTTAAATGATTGAGCTGGAACTTTAGGAGAAAATGCCACGCCTTCGAAGAGGGAGAAGAAGTCTTACCCCTAGAAGTAGTCAAGAGGGGGTGCTACCTGGATAAATTCAAGGTAAAATATTTGTGTTTTGTTTCTTTCCTGTTTTCAGTCTTTTTCCTCTTCTTAACTTTCCTAATAATTCTTCATTATTATTCCGTTCGTACATATACACTCAAAGCACACACCCCCACAAAAAAAGATAGCGTCAAGGGGTTCATTTATTTTTTCTTATTCCTTTCCCCTCAATTAGTACCTGTATCACGGCACGCACTTTAAGCCCAAGTGAAAAAAAATACTCACACGTACGAGGTCAGGTCACATGATGCGAATGAGCATTTGAAAGTTTCAATGACAGGTCTTGATGATAGGCCCAACTAACCAGAACTCAGACCAAGCTTGCTTTTAAAGCAACGGCAGAACAACGAATATATTATTCTTAGGCCCATGTCATAATTGTTACAGTGATCAGGACACCATCGGAGAATTCAGGGTTATGAAAGCGAAAGTTGATCTTGAGTGTATCTAAGTCTGAATTCTAAATTGATATGACGTCGATTTTAGTTCAAATAACGTGCATGAGTTATCTACTAGATTCAGCATAGATGCTCTAGAAACTAGCGTCCAACGTTCCTGCCGATAAAAAGTCAAATCGGAGCTTCCAAGCAAAAGAGATTGCAGAACTCTTTATATTTTTTTCTAAGAATTGGATGCAACAGACACAACGACAAAAAATCAGGATACTGGCGATCAAAATCGGGAAAATCGGGATGCTTGAGATTTGTGGCAAAAAATCGGGATATCCCGATTAAATCGGGATGAGAGGCAGGTCTGCTAGCTCAACAAATACTCCAGGCTCCTTCTTACTGCTGCCTTTCAACTTCACCCCTGATCTTAGGGTAGGTAATAATAATAATAATAGATAGCATTTGTATAGCGCATATCCCCGCTCAGCAGCAGGCTCTATGTGCTTTACACTATATTAGGTAAGATCGAACACCTAGTCTTTTCAGATAAGGATGAAAAATTTCTGAGGTCCCAGGTGCAAGTTGCACACATTAAAGACCCGTTTGTGGTCCTAAAATCAACAAGAGTAGGCTTTGGCCGCCTTGCATTAAAAATTAATTCCTAGCAAAATTGGAAATACTCTAGTCAGTATAACAACATATGCTGGGCTGCCTTATTCCTAAGCAAACATCTATTGATGTTGTAAATTATTGTAAATGCACTTCGCCCCCACCCATATAATTTAGACCAATCAGAGGGTAGGCTGCTTTGACCTTGCCAATTACGGCAACCTGGGCTGAGCAAGATGCAGCACCCCAGTTGTCAGACAAAGACGCTTGATAATAACTAATAATTTTTCAAATCAAGAGGCACTTGGGGCAAAAAATCAGAATCATGGGAGTAATAATGGTTGACAAACTAAAATTACCTGTGTAGATCTCTTGCAATATATCACCCTCTTTATTAGAGTTAGACATTTCAAGACCGCAAAAGCAAATATTCTTCAACTTGGATCTGAAGAAAATAGGAAAGTCGGTCTCTCAGAGGAGGGCACGTAGCTCACCTGAAGATGCTCTTTGCTCACTCTCATCTGCTCCAGCTCAGTCACCCTCACTCCCAGCTCTTGCTTCATTTGCTTGAAACTTATCTCAACCTGAGCAGGCACAAACAAATAACTGTTTCAGTACAGGCAGAACATTCAAATATTTTTTTTCTGTAAATCATTTTTTATGGTGAGCTATCGAACTACAAAGACAGCTGCAAGAGAGACATGAGTTAAACAAAGATTGACTTAAGAACCTGGGAACAGACAGGAAGATTGAAGCCAACAGAACAGGGAGTTCCAGAGTAAACTTATCACAAGATGGAAGAGAAGGATGCAGCAGCAAAAGAATATGAGTAGCAGTCACATAGCACTAGGCACAGGTTGGCACATCTGAAAAATTACTAAAGAAAGGGATTCCCTGCATTTAACACCAACTAGTTGGAGATACTGAACAAGGATCTGCTGCTCACAAAGGACAAAAGTAGCCTTATCAGCTACCAATGATAATAATAGTCATGGTCATAGTAAGAATAACAACAACAACAACAATAATAATAATAATAATAATAATAATAATAATAATAATAAATAATAATAATAATAATAATAATAATAATGATGATGATGATGATGGTAATAATAAATAACATTATTAATAATAATAATAATAATAATAATAATAATAATAATAATAGTAATAATAATAATAATAATAATAATAACAGTTCATGTTTTATGAACTGACAATGAGACTTAACATCCAAGGAGTAAGAGAAGTTGTAGACCTTACCTGCTACAGCAGTTAGTAAATGAAAGACAATTTGCAATAAATTCAAACAAAGCAAATGAACTTTTAGTTAGCATGACTAAGCAGCCCGCCGCACAGCATCACTTTTCGCCCGATTCTGTTACCTTTAGTGACTCAGCAGCCCGCCGAAGCTCCCCGGCTCGGGGTCACGTGGTTAATGAGCCCTGAAGCACAATGCCGGTGTCGGTAGAGAAGTTCTCATTTACGTTTGAAACGATATAACAACTTCTTCTCCATCCCACACAGCAAACCATTCAACTGACGTACGAAAAGCTCAATGTCTTGAGATTTATTCTGCATAAGAATGGGTAACTTCTGTGCCTTAGTTTTTGTTCTAGAAAAGTGTTTGTAGAGTATCCAATTTGTCCTATTTTATCGTCAAACTTATGAATAAATGATTGTTTATTTAAAAACGGCACAACAGATCTCTCAAAAATCTGTGTTAACCCTAGTCCTGCGGGGGCCGGGTTCACGTCGCCTGATAAGCCTATTTCGGAACCTCGCCTACGTTCTGGTCCCGAGTCAGTCTAGCCCCTGGCTCAGCACACGCGCACCAAGCATCATCTCACGTGAAATTCGGGTCTCGCGTCGGATCCCCATTCATGCAGGTCAAGTGTGTGTGCGTCAGTCTGCTTGAGTTTGTGTGTGTTTGTGGCCGTCTTCTAGAACTGCCTGCGTCGGTTCGTAATCCTGGCATACGTCTCATTCAAAACACGCCAAGTTGGTAGCTCTAGATGTTCGTCCAATGACATTATAGAAGAAGTTGACCCACTTAGACATGAGGAGCTCGAAAGGATAGTCAGGAAACATGACTTCCATTTTTCTATACAAAATCTTTCAAATGAGCTTGATTTTGTATGAAATGATACTACCAGATAAAAAATAAGCTTATTTGATAATTTTGAATATCATTGTGCAGGTACAAAGAACAATTTGAGTGCAAAACATTCGGAAATTTACCTATACTATCCCCTTTTGAACCTCAGGTCATTCATAACAACAAGAGCGTCTAGAAACGTTATTCGAATGGGTGTAACTACTAATGTCTTATCAGTTTGTGAGAGGGGGTTATTCATGTGTTTGTAACACTATATAAATAGAAACCTATGAAAGATAGAGCGTTATTTTCATCATCGATTAACACATTCCCATGGCATTCATGTCGAAAACACACGGCGCGCGCGCGCTGTACACCAACAGTACATACTGAGTGACCCCGGCGGCCTGCCCGGAACGTCTGATGTAATTGGTTGCTGATAAGATTCGCATCTCAGCACAGACGCAGGACAAGAGTTAATATAAGTTAATGTTAGCCTATACATTCAAAAGAACAAAAACTCTGTCAAATTCACAGTTAGAACAACTGAATATAACTCCAACAGACCCTACATCATAACGAAACTGTGTTACATTCTGGCTAGCACCAACCTACACAGCCACAAGGAAGAAAGGGGACACTGCCAGTACAGACCTTGCCCATGTCAGTCTTGAGCACTTCCAGGGCACGGTCCACAGAGGCCTTCTCCTGCAGGGCCGAGCGCAGCGCAATCTCCGTGGAGGCTTTTTCTTCCTTCAGGCTCAGGATCTCATTGTCTTTCTTGGTCAGGTCTGACATGACCGCCTGAAGCTGGGACTCCATCTGTTACAATGAAACAGCATTGGCTTATTTAATTTTGTGTAAAACCCTAGTGTTTGTGACTGTGGCTCTGTTTGAGAGTGTAAGCATTTCTCATGTGTGTATGAATATATATATGTGTGTGTAGAAGAGAAAGTGCATGAAAAGGTGTGTAAGCGTGTGTGCGTGCGTGTGTGTTTGTGTGAGTGTGTGTGTGCATGTGTGTGTGTGTGTGTGTGTGTGTGTGTTTGCAAGCGTGTATATGTGCACCATTGCGTATGGTAAAACACCAAGTCAATGTGCCAGCATCAGGACAATACAGATTAATTCTATCTATCTTATAGCTATAGAAAAATAGAGCCACTTGACCTGTATAAGTCTTTGCTCCATTTCCTGCAGAGATTTCTCCTTCTCCACCAGCGACTCCTCCGCCACAGCCAGCCTCTTCATGGTCTCCATCTGGCCCGTCTCCATGGAGATGAGCTCCTCGTGGCGTTTCTTTGCCTCCCCACTGGCCCGGTCAAGCTGAGCTTCCAGGTCATTTGTGGCTTGCTGCAGGCTGGCCATGCGGGACTTTTCCTCCTCCACTGTCAGCACCTGAGGGGTAGATTAGAGTGTGTGAGTGTGTGTGTGTGTGTGTGTGTGTGTGTGTGTGTGTGTGTGTGTGTGTGTGTGTGTGTGTGTGTGTGTGTGTGTGTGTGTGTGTGTGTGTGTGTGTGTGTGTGTGTGTGTGTGTGTGCACAACACTTCAACAGTGTCCTCAACAGACCATCTTCCATCAACAGTGAACCCATTGAAAGACTACCACAAGTGCCAATCGACAACACTCTGGCAGACCCACAAGCAGAAAATTAAGTAATGCTCGCCATCAAACGCCTATCCAGTGGCAAGGCACCAGGTGCCGACTCCATTCCAGCTGGAATCTACGCCTCTGGAGGCCCAACACTAATAGAGAAACTGACAAACCTGTTTACCGCCATGTGGTTAGAAGAAAAGCTGCCACAGGAACTCAAAGACGCTTCAATTGTCCACCTTTACAAGCGCAAAGGAAACAGGAACACCTGCGACAACCACCGAGGCATCGCCCTGCTCTCCATCGCTGGCAAGATCCTGGCTCGCATCCTGCTCAATCGCCTGGTTGCACACCTGGAATGCGACCTGCTCCCTGAGAGTCAGTGTGGATTCCGCGTGGGACGCAGTACTTTGGACATGATCTTCGCAGCTCGTCAACTACAAGAGAAATGCCAAGAGCAGAACCTTGGACTCTACTCCACATTTGTGGATCTGACAAAAGCATTTGATATTGTCTGCCGCGAAGGGCTGTGGAAGATCATGGCAAAGTTCGGGTGCCCGGCAAAGTTCATCGTGATGGTCCAACAGTTCCACGATGGCATGACAGCAAGAATGCAAGACGATGGCGTGTACTCCCAGCCTTTCCCCGTCACTAATGGAGTGAAGCAGGGCTGCGTGCTGGCCCCCACTCTGTTCAGCATGATGTTCTCAGCTATGCTGACCGACGCCTACCACGACGGAGATATCGGTGTCGGTTTTCGTTACCGCACTGATGGAAAACTCTTCAACCTTCGGAGGCTGCCCGCGAGGACTAAAGTCCATGCAGGCATAGCCCGCGATTTCCTCTTTGAGGACGACTGCACGCTGAATGCCAGCACTCAGTTAGACATGCAGGGAAGCCTGGACCATTTTTCTAAAGCCTGCGAAAATTTCGACCTCATTATCTCTACAAAGAAGACCGAAGTTCTGTACCAGCCAGCCCCATCGGCTCCTTACGTAGAGCCCCATTGCACCATCTACGACCAGAGACTGGCAGTGGCAGATAAGTTTGTCTACCTTGGCAGCACCCTCTCTCGTTCGGTCAATATCAATGAGGAAGTGACCTACAGAACTGCTAGAGCTAGTTCAGCCGTCCGTAGACTGAAAGACAAGGTCTGGGAGCGAAGAGGACTGAGCCTTAACACCAAGCTCAAAGTGTATAAAGCAGTAGTTCTGCCATCCCTGCTCTATGCCTGTGAAACGTGGACAGTCTACAGCCGGCATGCCAAGCAGCTCAATGCCTTCCACATGAGATGCCTCAGGACACCGCTTCGAATCAAGTGGCAAGACAGAGTCCCAGACACTGAGGTACTACAGCGGGCCAAGATGGAGAGCATATACGCTATCCAAATGCATTCTCAGCTCCGATGGGCCGGCCACGTTCACCGCATGGACGACTCTCGCCTCCCAAAGAGGCTACTCTACGGTGAACTGACCCAAGGCAAACGCTCTCTCGGCGGACAGAAGAAACGCTTCAAAGATGCTCTGAAAGCATCCCTGGAGAGTTGTGACATTCCCCATACCACCTGGGAAGAAGCTGCTCGCGACCGCACAGTCTGGCGCTCCTTAATAAGATCGGGTGTGATGAAATTCGAAGAAAGTCGAATCAGAAAGAAAGAACGGAGACGGCAGCTGAGAAAAGACAGAGAGAGCCCTACTTTCCAGCCTAATTCAGCCCCAAACATCCCCTGCCCCCACTGCAACAGACATTTCCGTGCGAAGATCGGCCTGATCAGCCATCTCCGCACACACCCCACCCCTCCAGTGATGTGAAGTCAAGGTCATCTTTGCCAGCGAAGGACGAACATCATATGTGCATGTGTTTGTTTATATGTGTGTGTGTGTGTGTGTGTGTGTGTGTGTGTGTGTGTGTGTGTGTGTGTATGTGCATGGGTGAGTGTGAGTGCATGTGTGTGTGTGTGTGTGTGCGTGTGCATTTGTGTGTGAGTGTGTGTATGTATGTGCTTGTGTTCGTGTGTGTGTGTGCATGTGTGTGTGTGTGTGTGTGTATGTGCATGTGTTTGTGTGTGTGTGCATGTGTCTGTGTGTGTGTATGTGTGTGGTGGGGAGGAGGTGCAATAGTTAAATAAAAGTGTTACAGAAAAGAATGTCAATATTTCAATGGTCATTTAATGCTCGGGAAGAAGCAAGACAGACAGAGACAACTTTGATGCACCATACAAGTGCGGAAGGGATTTAAAAATACAAATATCTTGTACTCTTTACTCTTCATGAAATGAACCACTAGAGATTGCTTCATTAGAAATTGTCAGAAACTTAAGAAAAGGATGCTGACAAGCAATAAAAATGGAGTAATAAAACAGTTTCCTGGAATAAACTATGCAAACAATACAGATCTTGTTCGTTTTATGTTTTAGTAAGCGTGTTACAGCACTAGCAACACAATTAGGTCAAATAGGAGCCAAAGTTTTAAGGTGTTACAAGATTTGTTTTTGTTTTAGAAAAAGTTTTACTGTGCTCGCAACTGCATAAGGTCAAATGAGCGCGTGAAACACAAGTTGCTTGCATTCACAACAGTTCACTGCATGGCTTGGCTTGGGTCAACGATCAGGTTTAAAATGTTAAACGCTTGAGGTAAAAATAAAAATTTTAAAATGATAAACCTGCTAAAAATCAAAATGACTTTTTACAATTTACCATAAAGGCCAATTACCTTTTTAAAATCGAGAATTTTGTTGGGACCAAAGACGGAGAACAGATCTGCAATTTTTTGCATTTAAAATACTTCCTTCAAGTCTCTCCAAAGTCCTTACATTCTTTTAAAATGTGTCTAATGGTAAAATCTGTGTCGCATCCAACACAAAACAGTTTTTCATCTCTCTATAGGAGGTACTTATGTGTTAGGGAGGTAAGTCAGATACGTAATCGAGTAAAAATGACTTCGTCTCTTCTGGAGAGGTTTTCGTAGACCCAGTTTGGGCATGACATTGCAGAGTTTATTGTTGGTTTGTTTCTCCCAATGTATCTCCCACAGACTGGAGGGGTAGTTTTTTACTTTATTTTTAAAGTCAGTCTGTGGGAGAGTGTTCGTCATTGATCCCAACAGAAGGGGCAAGGATTCCTTCGCCAGGAGATCCACCTGCTCGTTTGCTCAGGTGCCTACATGGCTAGGCAGCCATGTGAACACAATGCTTTTCCCGATTTCAGTCAAAGTGTGTATTTTTTGTTGTAACCTTACTCTTTTTGGGAGTAAAAGTGTGCAATTTGTAATGTAAGTGAGGTGATGCAAAACAGTCAGACAGGAAAACGAAAGATTTGTTGGGGGGAATTTTCTACGGAGTCCTGTGCCATGATAATGGCAGTGGCCTCTGCAGAAAAAATGGAGCCTTAGGGATGGAGTCTCCTCTGGTGTGTCCTGCTAGGAGTATAGGGCGGTGGCACCCACAGCAGAGTCCGATTTATAGCCATTTGTGAAGATTGGCTCCGCACCAGGGTATTTTTCTATAAGTGTTTTGTCTTCTGCTTTAGATGTTTTGGTGTTTGTGCTTGCTTTGTTTTGTGTGGTGAGCTTAAAAGTCTACTTTTGCATTGGTGAGGTGCCACTGAGGTCAAAAGGAGTGATAAGACGATAGATGTTAGGTTGGAAAGAAAGAGCAAACAACACCAGGAGCATCCGCCAACCACCCACCAATACAGATCGCAAATTTCATGTAAATACTTGCTGATATAAAGACGTACATGAAAAACAGCTCTTATAGTGCGGAGTAATTCACGGCTTTTTATCTCAACCCAGATAGTGACTGTCATTCCTAATTTGTGTGAAAAGAAAACTCCAATTTTACAAGAGACTGAAAGACAATGTTTTAACTAATCAGATTTTTATCTGCATAAGTTGCTGTCAACAACTCCAATTCCAACACAACATTAAAAAAATGGTGTTTGACCACTTTCTCATAGACAGACAGCATGAGCTGAAGTACCTGGGAATCACTCTGGACAGGACACTTTCGTTCCGAGGACATATTGACAATGTTGCTGTCAGGGCTCAGAAGGGCATCAATGTAGTGAAGACCTTGGCTTGTTGTTGTTGTTGTTGTTAGCGATCCAGTAGCATCTGAGCGTTAACTCTTCTGCATGATGCCATTTGGTAATAGTTGCATGTTTGTTCTAACTGTTGTCTTGAGGAGTAGAGGCAATTAGATGAGTGGGGTAGCTTGGGAAGAAAACATCCCCTTAAATCAGTTAGTTTTCTACAGAAAAACAGATGATGTTCCACTGTCTCTGAGGGGTAGTCACATAGTGGGCAGGCAGCAGACTGCTTTACTCCAATTCGGTTGGGATGTTGGTTGAGGGGTACATGTTGTGTTCTAAGTTGGAAGATTATGGATTGATCTCCCCTCCTCAACTCATTGATTGGATCTTTGACCAGTGGTTTATTCATGTGGCCATACATCCTCCTTCCTGTCGTACCTGTGGCCCAATCATTCATCCACTCTTCCTTGAGGTTTGACTTGATCATTTGGCAGCAGGTGGTGTAATTCGTAGGAATTTCAGGCTGAGGGAGACTAGCTCCTTTCTTTGCCAGAGCATCAGCTCTTTCTTTTCCCGGTATCCCAGTGTGGGCAGGAATCCATTGTAGGACTACTCTGACGTGGTGCCCACTTATCAAGTTATGTAGACTCCAAATCAAATGCAATATATCTTTGTTCACATCAGTCCCACTCTCAAGTGTCTCTAGTGTTGAAAGGCTGTCTGTAAATATAACGATGTCTGTGGTAGCAAATGGGTTAGTGTCAAACAAGTAG